TTCTTAGTATTTTTAGCGGATGCCTAATGTGGAGCTCTAGGAAATTTCGTTGAATGTGCAATCATTTAATGACAATAAAGGATATCTAATCTAATCTAATCTAATCTAACGGCTAGTCTGAATTAAACTGCGGTACCTCCTTCTTAAAGCGGCTCCATTCTCCTAGATTCCAGTGATTCATGTGAGATTAAAAGACAAATCTTTACATTTTCACCATAGAGTTTTTTAAAGTGAATATGTTATAAATGCAGCAGCTAAATGTAGCACTTCTGGGTCAAAGGTCACCAAAATGCAATGTTTGTCAAAAATGAAGAAATGCAGCAAATTACAATCTAGCTAAAACCAGTTTGTCCAGACCTCAGAAGAGCATCGCTGCCTTATTAAAACAGCTCACAGCTCCGGAACACTAAGCTGAATCTTTGGGAAGTTACTTGATACATTTTTCCAGAGTATCATGTGGAATAGTGAGAAAATCTTGGATGAACTTGAGATGCAAAACACAAAAAATCATGTTGATTTAATGAAGTCCACACAGGATTTAGGAGATTTGGAGCCATTTTTATAGGCCTTATATGCTGATGTTGGGTGCAGTCATACTAGCCTTTAGCTCATCAGTCTCAATGGAAGTAATCTCCTTTTCTATGAACAAAGGCTGCTTAGTAAGCTACCTAGCACAAATATGAAATATACAATAAAGTTCTTTAAAGGGACTGTATGGAGTTTTGAATTTTTATGCTCACGATTGTCCCCTCAGGCCAAAAGCGTAATGGCAGCTTCAATAGTAGGCTCGTGCACGAGGCGCGCATGCTGTACGTGCACACTCCTTAACGAAAATAACAGCTGAGACCATCCCGTGTGTGTGTGTGTGTGTGTGGCCCGGAGGACAGAGGGCAGGAGAACACGCAGCTAATTAATTAAATAATTTGGCTCTGTACCTTTCTCTTCAGCACAGCCGACAAAGGTTTATGATGGGTCAGTCCTCCTGCATGCTCAGATCATTCCCTTCCCTTGCTTGAAAAACTGTTCCAAAATGAAAGTTGAACCCACATCTTTTTTATCTGTGAATTCAATGCCGTTCGGCGAGTCTCAAATAAAAATTTGGGCATCTTACTGTAAAAAAAAAATACCATTAATGTAAAAAAGAAACTCTATATAAACTATGTTCCCACTGAGAATCGAACCCAGGTCTTCTGCATGAGAGTCAGACATCTTACAAGGTGAGCTACGCTCTAGTAACATTCACAGTTTCTGTAACTTTTATATAGTTGATGACAGCTGAAACAACGTCAAACCGAAGAACAGTTCGGAGCGAAAATGGCTATTTTGTTGCTAATTTGCAGGAAATATCTAGAAGAAAGTTCTACAGAAAGTAGCTAAGGGTCCTCAGAAATGTAGCTAGGTTCGTCACTAGGCGTTAGGAACAGCGACAAAGTCGCTGGGTTGGCACTACCTCTCTCTCTGCTGCTAAAGCTACTGATAGCAAATGCTAAGAGCTATGCCTGAGCGTGAACGCGCATGAAGCAGCCTGCTCGACCCGAGCATCTCTCTTTTTCTGTGATTTTACAGAAAAACAGGCAATCACAGTAAAAATGCCAGGGCTCATTCTACAGGACCAGGGCATTGCAGGAGAATGTATGAAGAAGACATTTATTATTTCTATACACGTTTTGGCTGTCAAACTTCCATAATGTCCCTTTTAAAAATCAAACTAAAATCATTATTTTTATTTGTTAAAGATTATTTTTGTACATTTGCAGTGGTCTCTATAGGAATGAATGCCTTGTATGTTTATGTTTATGTATTTGGCAGACGCTTTTGTCAAAAGCGACTTACAAGCGATAATCGGCATGTTGCCCTTGAGGCTAACAACAACAATAACAACAACAACTTGACATCAGTCATGGAGAGGAGGGTTAGACTAGTTAAGAAGATGCTCTCTGAAGAGCAGGGTCTTCAGGATTTTCTTGAAAATTGAAAAGGAAGCCGTTGTTCTGGTAGTGCTTGGAAGGTCATTCCACATTTGTGGAACGATGCATGAGAAGAGTCTGGATTGTCCTGAGCGTGGTGTAGGCACTGCTAGCCGACGATCCTGTGATGACCGGAGCGGCCGGGCCGAGACGTACGTCGTAGTCTGAAGAAAAGACGGTATGGTGTGCCAGTGTGAGGACGTGGAAGTCAGCTGGAGGGCAAACTAGCTTCTGACAGCAGAATTTGGAGTCTTATTTCCTGATAATTGGACATCTCGCCTCAGATTGGATAACAGCAACAAGACCCCATACGTGATTTGCAACGTGTATGAATTATCTCCACAAATAACACAAGCCTGGAGGAGCTCTGCTGTGTGGTGGAGTTGCTAATGCTAATGGGTAGCTTCTACTAATAAACTCCCAACTCAATTTTATTTGTATAGCGCCTTACATACATGACACGTGCCAGCAAGGAGCTTTACAGCGACAGTAAAAACATAAAACAAGAATTTAAAACAATGAAACATCAATAAAAACACAACAAATACCCCAAAACAGAGATAAAAAATAGGGCTGGGACTTGATTAAAAATTGTAATATAATTAATTAGAGGCTTTGTAATTAATTAATCTAAATTAATCGCATTTTAATCGTTCAGGAAAGTGTGCTCTCAAAGTAAAACTTTTAATTAAAATATGAGACAGAGAATCAAACATTAGACATAGTTATTACTGTAAACTAAAGCATTTAATAAAAAAAATGCATTTTAATCATTCAAATGTCACTGTGTGATATGAAACAAAACCCAAATCAACTAAAATTTATAATTACAAATAGAAAACACCTGCAAAGGCTTCCTGAGCCTTTAAATAGTCTCTCTGTCTAGATGAATGACTGAAATAAATTTGACTTTGCACCAGATTCTAATTTTTCCAGTTTCACTTGTTTGTATAATTGGGAGTTTTTATTAGCATTTCTACTCATAATGTAGTAAAAACACACATATAAATAATAATCCTTCAAAATGACAGTAGAACAGGCACAAATATGATCTAGGACTTAAATGTGCTAACTTTTAACGCCAGAGCAGGCGTGACATATTCTGAGAATGATCAGGAACACTAACTGGTTCCAGTTGGATGACTGGAGGATGATGGGATGATAAAAGATCATGGCGAGGAAATAATGATCTGACGAACAGGTGAGCGGACCTTCCTTTCATGGAAAGTCCTGATGTCACGTTAAGAAGGGGATGCTGCCGACCCGCAGATTCACACCTGCAGCAGCGAATCTGGTGTGATCTCCAGCCTGATCACAACTTCCTCGTTCCTCGCTGCCCCTGATGCACGTAAGCATCCGCCCCTTAGCTGATGACAGCTTCAACGCACCTTGCTGCTTAATGATAGTAATGCATGCGATGTTTAGACAGTGACTCGTCTCAGAAACATAGAATTCCCCGACAGAATTGTTTAGAAAATCATCAGAAAAGTTTTAGAGTGTTTCTGTTTCAACTTAAACTTCTGTTTTCAACTTTAAGATACGTTGTTTGTGATTATTTACATAGTAGTGAGAACACGGAGCGTTCTCCCAGCGGCAGCCAGTTGCCTCTCGTTTGTCTGACTACTTTCATAAACTACTGTTAGGGCACAGAATTATTCTGTCTGGTGCTTTCAGCGCTGCACAGATGTTCCGTAAATGTTAAAAATATAGCTTACCGCAACTTTTGTAAAGTTTCTGGTGCCACCGGGCAGCTGCAGCAGTATCGATCTCTGAAAAATGTCCGCGACACGGACTCCGTTGTTGTCTGGAAGTTTTTTTTTTACCAAGTTAAGAAAAGAGGCGGACGTGTTTCCTAAATCCTGCATCAGTCCAAGCAAGGCAACTTCTTTCTGTTTTTATTCCGTTTTAGAATTCATTAGCACTGTGCATTGTTGTGTGCGTCAGTGATATTCAGTCTACGAGGAAGTCGTGCAATGACAAAGGTTCCGCCGTGCTCGAAAGCTGCAAGCTGCGATTAAATGCGTGAATTTTTTTACGCGTCATTTTTTTCTAATTAATCCTAATTAACGCGTTAAAGTCCCAGCCCTAATAAAAACAGGTTAAGACTAACTAAGGGAGGAAAAAGCCAGGTTATGAAGGCAGGTTTTCAGCCTTGTTTTAAAAACCGCCACGGAGGAAGAAGCCCTTAAGCAGCTCATTCCAGAGCTTTGGGACTGCTACCGCGATAGCGCTGTCCTCACCCAATCAAGAAGCTAAACCAACAACAGCCTTCCCCGTTGTGAGTCAAGATGGTGAGCCCACGATTGTTAAGTGACAGCGTGACGTAGATCTGTCAGGATTTTCTAATCCTAGAGTTTCACCGTCTATTTTCTATCAGAAGCTAATGCAGGATATAGGTGTAGGAGACTATTTCCTGTTCAGCCTGCATGAAACACTCAGAGTGAGTGATGACAATCAGAAATAATCCTTTAAAAAGTTTTTTAGTGTTCCACACCTTTACCAAAATGGTTTTATTGTGCAGTTTCTAATATTTAACATCATCTGAAGTGATGTTCACTGCATTCTTCTGTTGAATACATAAATACGTTATTTTCCATTATTTAAATCTAATTTCAGCAGCCAGTTTCAGATTTTGTACAATTTGATCGTTTATAAATAAATGTATGTACATATATATAAATGTATGTATATATTTAAATAACATTGCAGCTAAAATCACTTATTTAATGATGCCGCAGATATGAATTATATTAAATTGCAAACCAAAACAACAAACATACATGTATAATTCAATTCAAATTCAAAAATACTTTACTAATCCCAGAGGGAAATTAGAGAAATGTGCTTTCGCATGATTTTTACATTTTTTAATCACATTTAGGCACAAGTTCAGAAAGACATCTGTCGCCGTGGCAACAATAAAAAATTACCCCACAAGACTATTAAATTAGGCCGTTTGAGTTTGAAATAAGAGCAGCTGTGGCCGGCTTGAACCAGCATCTGTTTCATTAACGTTTAGAAGGCGTGTCTCACCAGTGTGGGACAGCAGGTTGGGGGACAACAGGCCGGGAAGTCCCGGGTGCAGCAGCCGGGGGCTTTCCTGGATCCCGGCCCCGGAGCAGCGTTTGGGAGGTCGGCCCGGACGGGAGCTGCAAGTGGAGAGAAAAATCAAAATCATTTTAAAAATGACATTTTCAAGCTCAGATTCTCACATACAGAGATGTCTGTTTATGTCTCCTCAACACAAAGTCTGTGTTGTGGTCTTTCTCAGCTCCAGGTGTGGTGGGCACCAACAGCTGGACGCTCCAGCAGACACCGCGGGTCACTCAGACTTAATCAGATCACAAACGGAGGATAAACAGCCAGTGTTCGTCACAGGCGGACGTCTAATTGGTCGTTTGGGAGTCAGACCAAAAGAAAACACCATTTCAGATTTAACATTTATTTTCGGTTTGAAGCATTCTGCCAACAGTCATGATGTGAAAGGTTTTATATTTTACAGTTAAAGTATCATTATGCTCATGTTCAAACATCACTCGTGTTTCATTTTACAGGTTTTATTCTTATTTTATTACGAAAGTTTGAAGTTGACTAAAACCTGATGATTTAAACACACAACCACTAAACTATAAATTTAATCTAGAAGAAAAAGTTTATTGAAAAAAAAAATTAGCTGACTGAAGCATTAAATCTGGGTAAACATAATAAAAAAATACCATAATATCTGTTGTAGATGGCTCCCTGATCAGCCTTAGTTTACAGAAGTGGGCAGAATCGATAAGCTAACAGCTAGTCTGCGACGGTTTCTACATTCCCCCAGTTCTATGGGATCTAGGACCTCATTAGCATAACCACACGTCCTCATATGTAGACTCAGGAGGTTAGAAAGTGTTGACTTTTGTCTATCTGACTTAATTTTAACTATAATTATTTAAAAATACCATTTAGAAAAATGGTGTCACTCCGGACTAGCTGTTAGCTTATCAGTCTTGACAAACAAAGGTAACTTCTCTAGAGAGGCTCTCCATCTAAACCATTTACACAGAAGCCAAAAATGACCAAAATAATCTCTTGTAATTGCAGTAAAATTAGTAAATACCTAAATGAAGCACACAACCCTCCAAAGTACTGATATAAAGTATTAATGCAGAACTTGTATTGTGTTGATACTTTACTCTAAAGATTTGTGAGTACAACTTCCTGACACATTAGGCAACAATAACTCCTACAAGGACTAAATTTGTTCACACTTGTACAAAACGCCGTCTGTTTTCCTCACATACAACAGGAATCCATGTTCTACATGCACAATGTGTATAAACACACACACCTAACCTATTATGCGTGTGCACACAGGCATAAATAACCACAGTCAAACACTGGAATACAGTAACTGCACACATGCAGTTTAACATAAAGGGAGGCGCACAAACACACACACACACACACACACACACACACACACACACACACACACACACACACACACACACACACACACACACACACTCAGGAGGTGTGCATGCAGGCCAAAACTCTGCAGGGTGGCTCAGTAACAGATGGCCGTCCAAAGTCATTTACACCTAAAGAGAGAAAAAATAAAACCTGTATATGACAAATGCCGCAGTGTCACTGCAGGAGAACAAAAATGATTAGATGAAACTCTAAATCTATACACGGTAGGTAAAATAAGACCAGAAGAATCAAATGAAAAAAGCACTATACTCAGATTTACAAAAGCTAAATATGCTGTCAGGCAGGCAAAAGCAAAGACCACCAATGAAGCAGGTGACCTGGTTTTAGCTACTTTATGTAAAAAAAAAAAAAGTCATCCTCTCAGTCAAGTGTTCATGCTCCAGACCAGACTAAAACAGCCTCTGAGTCCACTTGGACAGAACCGAGGCAACACTTATTATCTAAAATAGCCAGAAGACATAAGTGTGGCTCATTCGTTTAATCAGCACATCTGCAGGTAAGCCATTCCAGGACTCACAGTCATGTCCAGGAACCAGTAGTGACCCACAACACAGCTGAGCTTCAGGTGGCAGGTTTTGGAGTCTTATTTCCTGATTTTTGGACATCTCGCCCCAGATTTGATAAGAGCAATGCAACTCTACTACTGATTTGCAACATGGATGTTTAATCTCCACAAATAACACAAGCCTGAAGGATCTTCTGCTGTGTGGTGGAGTTGATGATGCTAACGGTTAGCTTCTACTAGTTGGTAGTTGGGACCGTAGACATGTATAGGAAGCCCTATTGCGCGCTGGAGAGCGTAACAGTGTTGCCACCAGATTGGATGGGTTCCTCATTCTCCAACTCCAACTGGAGTCAACACAGAGTGAGCAACTAAGCCCGCACGATTGAAAACTTACTATCGGCCTTTCTAGCTTTAATAACCTTTCTGTTGGGACTTAATTTTTATTTTTACTTAATAGAAATAGGGAGCCTAAGTCACTTCTGCATCATGGGTCCCCGGAGGAGCGAAAAAATGAATGCAAGTCAACGAGGCTAATAACGCTATTTTCTAATCCGCTTTGCCTTACACCCTGGATCACACATATGTTGTACTGCAATTTAAATGAAAACTATTGATGGGTGTTTCGACCACCCCAGTCACGTACTTTGAAATTTATCAGCTTGTAAATGTTCGTATGACTACAAACTAGAAATCAGCACACAGAATCTCCACTCCCCAAAGTAGCTGCTGTTTACCAAATGACCAGATTTATGGTGGTTCTTTCCTCCTGTGGGAAGTTTGCTCAACTTACCGCCCTTTTCCCTCAGTTTTCTCTGTGTCTGTCTTCGATGACGCCACTTTTGTGAATCGCATTTGTAGTCCTGGACTTATTTTCACACAAAACCTAAAATAACGTTCCCCTTGTTCGAAAATAAGCTCGTTCTTGGTATCAAAATGTGTCTTTAAAATTCACGGACATCATTTGTGAAATCCATGGAACATAACAAGGGTTTTTAGCCCCATTGACTTGCATTCATTTTTTCGTTCTTCCGGGAACCCATGGTGCAGAATTGACTTAGGCTCCCTATAAAATAATAAAATGTGTTTTTTATTTTAGTGAGCACCTTCCTTCGCATAAATAAATGCACTGGGGGCAAATGCAGACCCATCCAAGATGGTGGCTTGCTGCTACACTGGCTCCAATAGGCAACGTGAGCCACGGGGTGTCTACATATATGAAGTCTTTGGTCGGGATGTTCTCTGCTGTTTCCTGGACGCTAACCCAACAACAACCTTCCCCATCAAGATGAGTGAGTCCATGAATGTTAAGTGAAAGTGTGATGTAGATCTGTCAGGCTCTTTTAATCCTAGAGTTTCACAGTCCATTTTCTATCAGAAGCTAAAGCAGGAGATAGGTGTAGGAGACGATTATCATGTTCAGCCTGCATGACAAACTCATAGTGACCAATTATAATCAGGAATTAAAAAATGGGGTTTGAGTGTTCACACCTTTAAACCAGGTGAAGAAGCTATTGCTTCTGCCTAAACCTATTCAGTCATGAGATACCAAATAGACACCATATACAAATGAAAGCATATGTTAGTGAGAAATGGTATTTGTATCTATTTGTATGACATGTTATTGTACATTATCTTAAGATGACTGACTGAATAAATTGATCATTCATTCATTCATTCAGGGTCAACTAATTATATCGGCCTGCAACCACTTGCTCTTGATAGGAGTTTGGGTACCAACACTTCTTTTCTTTAGATTTTTTTCCTGATATAGTTGAAAACAATCTCAAGAACTACGTAATTCTAATCAATGCTAGCTACATCTGAAAGAATGAGCACCACACGGAGTCCAGCTGAAATGAGCTAGCTTAGCTAGTCATTCAGGATTCTAAAGCAAGACACCACGTTAGTGTTTAACTAAAATAATAATTTCAAACTATACTTTATGAACTTAAATCGATGCTTCGTTTAAAACATTTTGCAAATGGTTGCTGTTTTTGAAGTCAGCAAATTTACATAGGGCAACTTAATAAGCTAGCATGCTAGCAGCAATGCATTAGGCAGCATAATGTTTAGCTGAATCAAGTAAATATTTAATTTCACAATTTCAGATATTTGGTTATTTTATGACCACCTGAGTGAGCAGTAAACATTAGTGCTGGAATTGTTTTGTGTCCAAATATTTTGAGACTTGGACAAGTTGAAAGAAATTCATGAAAGCAACAGCAACAACATAAAATGGCTCAGCACCAGATTAAGTCAAAAATGTGGCTAACGCTAAGTAAACGGCTAAAGGATAGCAACAGTACGTAGAGAGGGCGATGCTACATGCTCCAGCTCTGGAACAGAATGGAAGAGATGTTGGTCGCTTCAGGAACAGTTGAGTAAATCGGTCAGATCCCTGAGAGAGAAAGGGCAGTGTGTGCGTGTGTGTGTGTGTGTATTAAAAGTTGTGAAGAGAAAATGACTGCAAATGTTTTTGGGTGTGATCTGAATGTGAGAAAAAAAGAAAGAGCCAAAAGAGCATGAAGAAATGAAAACACGAACCTTCACTTTTACTCTGAACTCTACTTCACCTCTCCCTCCCTCTCTCCCTCCCTCCAACACACACACACACACACACACACACACACACACACACACACACACACACACACACACACACACACACACACGCACACACACACACAGGTGTTTGCATGCAAACCTTTAAGCCTTCCGTCAATGCTGCTGCTTTCTTTTAACTGATGATCACAAACAGTGGATACATGTTACAGTAACTGGTGTGTGTGAGTGTATTCGACTGCATCCATCCATGTGTAAGCAACCTTAAGGTGTGTATCCACGTGAATCCTTGCCGTGTGTGTAGTGTGTCCACAAAGGACACTTGATATTGGCTTCTCATTAGCCTTACAGTTCTTTGTTCAGAGTAATGACTGCAGTGTGTGTGTGTGTGTTTGTGTGTGTGTGTATCCCGTAGGGTTGCCATATGTTGGGCATTAATCCTCGTCAACGGTCCACTCTCCTTACAGCACCGAGCTCAGGAACAAAGAACAGGTCACACACACAAAAAGAAAGAGGCACGTACACTCACATACTACATGCATCTCCACTTACACACTGAATGTAAAAGTCCAACCACACACACACACACACACACACACACACACA